ACGTACTTGAAGATGAAATACATTTCATTACATCCTGTAAACTCTATATATATACAGATCGTGAGAAACTATATATGGTCTTCACTGAACAATTTCCAGATTTCCAGTCTGCCAGTAATATTGAAAAATTTAAGTATATCATGAATACATCAGAAATAAAACTCATTAACCATGTTATTACCTATCTAAAATCATCTTATACTTTACATGCTAACTTCCAAGCACAATGCAAATTTTCTTCTTTTAAGCATTATTAATACTGTACCTAGTAGTAGTTGTGTCTTTTTTATGTGATTTAGTTACTTCTTTTTGTTATACTTTTATTACAATTAGCTAAAATTGAGATGTAATTTCACAATACAGCGTAATAAAGTTATTATTATTATTATTATCCATCATAGTCATCAGCATCAACTTTACATTTTCGACTTGTTCTTAAAAACCGTAAATTTTGTGTGTTCATACTAACTACAAATGAATGGTTCTCTCAAAGATTTGTTCATTTTGTGGTGATACATTTAATTCTCTAATTTAGTCACCATTGAAAACTGTTAGCCTGATTGCCTAGAAGTTCTATATGTAAGTGCTTTTGTAAACTGGTACAGTCTAGGCAATTTATTTCTTTTTACAGTTTAAATTAAATACAAATATCGCAATGTGGAGGTTTTAACACGTAGTTTGCGACGATAGTTCAATTTCTTTACCTTCTTGATCGATGTGGTCAGCGCTAAGTTTCGCATCGACTCCATACTCATGGTCTTAATCACAATTAACTGAAGTGTCTACATATCATTAAAGGCTAATAAACTAAACTAAAAACTACTACACTTCTTAAAAGAACCGGAAACTATGTTTTACTCAGATATTTACAGAAATACAGAAATGGTTAATAAGTTTAAAGCGACCCACAATGTTTACCTCATTATGCAGCACACACGCCCCCAATTCCTATTTTGTATTCGTTTTTTATGAGCCGACAGTTCCATACAAAATACTGTTACTAGAATTTGTCTTGTGAGCCCCTAGATTGACTTATCTAATAACTTTGACTTACACGTCCAGTGGCAGAGGGACGTCCATGGATGCCACCTTGACTAATTGGTTTACCAGTTACACAGGCAGCAGCATTGATATCATTGTAACCTTGAAAAACAAACATATACATACATACAGGGAGGGGACAAGATAAAGTTGTGAAGATTATAAATGTAGTGAAGGATAATGAGACAATTATTTAATTTTATAAACTATGATTATTATAATTATAGTAATTATATAAATTCTGTCAGTATGATAGTTTTTCCACTATTTACAATAGACTAGTGATAGGTATTCAAATTTGTATTTATCAATTTATATTTGTCTACAATGATGCCAGAAATTCAAATTAGTCTGCAATGATGGTGAAATTCAAATTAGTCTGCAATGATGGTCTGGACTGGTGTTAGGAATTCAAATGGATTGGTGTTAGGAATTCAAATGGATTGGTGTCAGAAATTCAAATGT